ATTGGAGAGTGGGGCATCCATATTGCTTTCACCTTAAATAGCAATGTGTCTGGTCCTTGGTCCTGTCTTGGTATAATTTCATTTTGGATGGAAACATCAGTATGATTGTATGTATGGGACATTCAGCAAGTTCTACAAGCTTACAAAAAATCTTTGTAAGGCTATAAAACTGTATCCCAGTTTGTCTTCAAGCGCATTTACTTCAGCTGGATTTTCTGTAGAAATAATATACTAGTATCTTAAAGCACAATCTAATATAAAGCCTTAAGTGGCAGCTAATTTTATCAAGAAACGGTAGTATGTACAGTATATTATATAAACTGTAAGTAAATCTAACACTGTCCTCTTAATTGAGAGATTAGAGAGGGAATGGGACTGGATATACAGGAGGAAGGTCTTCCAGCCATTATTTTCAGCCAGAATAGTTCAGAAAAACCAACCTATATAATTCACCTCTGTATTTCTCTCTCTCCTGGTATAAGACTAGGGTAAGAAAGATTTTACAGCCAGGTACCAAACTGTGTTCCAGGGTTTTCTGGCTAATTCTTTTCGAAGATTAACAAAGTTTATTATGTAGAGACGTAAGTGGGAAAAATAAAATATACTGTGTTTCCTGCTGTTAATCTCTGTTCCACAGGCATATTTTTGAAATAGTACTTAGAAGTGCAATAAGGAGCAAAATACGTATTGTAATGATCTTGATTCTGTTCAACACAGCAAGTAGAAATCCACTGGCTGACTAGAGCATAGTAAAAGTAACTTTGTTCTTTGAAGTGCTATATATTAAAGAAAAACAGCAATATTAGCTTGCTAAATTGCAGAAGCAACTATTTCATAAAGTTTTTCATGAATATCCTTTTATATAAAATGTGAAATGTTTGATCAGCAAAGCACTTGTTAACTTGTAATTAAGCATTTAAATTTTTAGATTAAAATGCTATTTTAAAGCATGTTGTCCATATCTTAACTACAAAGCCATCTTAAGATTCTAAATGCATTTGAGAAACTCTGTCAAGATGGTTGGCTTTTTTTACAATGTTAAGATGGCAGGGGGGAAAAGTATTAATAGCCAAGTCCCCGCCACAACTATACACTATGAATTAATGGGACCTGTGGGTGGGCAAGGGAGTCTTTTATGAGTTTTTGTCACAGAAAGCTACAGTGAACAGGGTCTTGATTTCTATATTTTTCTTTTTAACTGAGAATATGACATTTTTGAAGAACTATTCTAACCTTTATTCTGAAGTTTGCTTAACCATGGTGCACAAACTGTTGATGTAAAAATGAAATGGAGCTTAGTAGTATATACTAAGCCAGTAACCTGATTTACGATAGGGATAGCTTTATTAAAGGAACATGTGAAAGCTTTATAGAATATAATTTGAGGAATCACCTTTTTCTGCTTGTACCTCCATCATATTATCAGCCAATCATGTCTAGTCTTAAATTATGGGAGACAAATTTACATTGTTCAAACATTTTGGATTTCAGCTCCCATTAATTCTGGGCTGCATACCTCACTGAAAAGGAGTTCTTGGCACTCTCTGAGCTTGATTATTTGCTTGCAGATGTTTCATTACCTATATGTATTTCTTGGAATTATTGACAAGTGGGAAAATGCTAGTTCAACAAAGAGAAAGTAGGGCTAAATTGATTAGGAAGGTACGTATTTTTTCATTTGTCCTTTTCATTACCAAATCAACATGATTGTGAACAACTGAATCAGAATTCTAGTTTTTAGGAATTTACACTTACTAAGGGTAACAATATAAACCATTTAAGCCTTTTAAAGTTTTACTTCAAGGGGAATACATCCATCGTACCTGGTATAAGTACAAGTTGAAGCATTTCATTTTCAGACCTGACCATATAGCCTTTTACATGGAAGTAACTGCTCATTGCACCTGATATGGTATATGGTAAAGTAGTAATGTCGGTACATACATCAGAAACTATTCAACCTCTCCTAAATCAGTAAACTAAATGTAGGGAAGAAAAGGGGATCATGCGATTTTACTGATGACCACTCAAAAAACAATTACCGGTATAATTTTTCAGCCTGGCCTCTGGATTCCTCTGTGAATTACTAGTAAGGTATATGACTGGAGATGAATGCCAAAGACAACATCAGTAAATAGAAAGGTGCTAGTAATCCTGGCCAAGGTCTGGAATGTGAATTGAACAAGGATATTGTGTAACCTGGTTTAAGGATATGATGCCAAAGACATGAAATGTCTATTCTAATGGAGTGAAAATATCAATGAATGAGAGGATTATCACTTGACACAAACAATAAATGAAAATATCCTGCAACCAGGGGAGTTCCCCTTTTTTGTTTTGATAATTCTTGACTATTCAAAAATGAAGCAGCCAATTAGAGGACCACTCTGTCACCATGAAAGTTTGTAAAGTTGAAAAGAAGCATGCAAAGCTCAGACATGCATCAAACCAGTATAACTCAGAAATGTGATTTTCCAGGATAAGGTGTATATAGACTGCTAAAAGCTTAAAGAGCCTCGGCAAAAGGAAAGGTAACACCAGAGATGATCTCAAAGCAGGGATTATAAAATGTAGTGGAAATAAATATAACATGTTTCAAAACTTCCACCAGATTTTTTTTAAAGTAAATGTTATCAAACTGCAGAACACTGAAATTTCATTATGTTTTAAAATACAAGATACAGATTAAAAGTGAGAATGGGAACAAGCCCAATATTTCACCAGAAAACATAAGCAGTATTATTACAGAATAATTTTTCATATTCTAGATGTGCAACGTAAAAGTAGTGTTGGTACACAAGCAGGGAAAATCTTGACAATTGTCCATTCTTTGTGTGTTAAGTTGAAGAATAAAGTGCCAGAAGAATATTTGAGTCTCACATGGCTACCCCAACTGAACTTACAACATCCCAGAGGCTAATACCCACTACTCTGGATCAAAACCACTGACAAGCAATTCATTTTGTTACTTTGGTTTAAAAACCAGCACATACAGTTTGAAGTTGTGATCAGAAAATAGTGGGCAAAAGTGAGAAGTATGATGACCCTGTTATGCACAGCCTAGAAGTATGAGTAAGTCTACGCCATGCGTCCCTTGCCATTGCAAAGCATAATTCATGCCTATTGAAGTGGTTTACTGCCACAAATTCAGTGTTGCGGGGACAAATGTTTCTACTTTTAAATGGTATGCTCCAACCATTCCAGAGGTGTTGAGCTTGAAACAACCATCTTATGTTCAAACTCAGAAAACAGCCCTTTTTGTACCATTATTCAACACTTCCCAAAGGGAGTGCTTTAAGGCCATTAATGCAGACTTGTTTTTATTAAAACATTGGAAAGGAACAAGATCCTAACACTGTAATGAGAAACACGTATAGAGCAAAACTATCAGTCCATATAACTTGCTGCTGGCTAGGTTGGGCTCCCACCAATTAGCTAAGCATTGAAGCAGTAGATACTAAATTACTGCAATATAGCACAGATGCAAAAGCTATGTTTGGATTCACAGATAAAACATTGTATTAATTTTGCTCCTCCATAATCTTGAGTACTTGCAAAGAAATGAACACTGTGATGATTAAGTTATCTTGCTAGAGACCATGACTTCTCATCCCGCCTTTGCCATGAAAGCCAGCTGAGTGACCTTGGGCCAGTCACTCTCAGCCCAATTCACAGGATTGTTGATGTGAGGAAAATAGGGGGAGGAAGGAGTGATATATTTACCACCTTGAGTTATTTGTAAAAATAATACAGGATACAAATAATTAAAATGAAATTCAGGAAACTCTTAAGCAAAAGCACTACTATTGTAACAACTCCATTTCCAATGTTGGCAAGAAATCAAAAGTTATACAGTAGTTTTAAAATAACAACAGAAATGACATCCAGTAAGTGTATTTATTCTCCTTTTCTAAAAATAAGACTATTCTGTATGAATTTTGACCAAATAGCAGTTTAAACTCCCCTCAGTTTAATCTTGGAGTCTATCATCATATCTTTAATTGGCTGCAGTCCTTTTATTTTGTACGTGGGTTTAGTCAATGTTATTCTTCACTTCAGAATCTAATATTTATCTCAATAATCCTGAAAGATGAAGTGAGAGCCAGGAATGCTTTCAGTGGCCAGGTCTTCCAAGTCTTTCATTCCTGCTACATAATTATCAGTGCTAGTTCAGGGTGTGACCTTTCAGTTTCTATGTTTCCAGCGATATTAAATTCTATTTAAATATCTCTGCCTTGATAAAACTCTTAGAAAATGAGGCTTTGTGAAAGAACAGAAACCAAACCAGTAAACCTTCTTACAATTCTGTCATTTGTAGAAATCTAACAGCCTGCAATGCAAGTGCTTAAATTGCGATTATTTACATTTAGTTTCATCAAAACAAGTCTTCCCATAAGAAACATTTTAATAACTAAAATGCACTGTAAAGTCTGCACACAAAATGTTCTCTGATAGGGCAATTAATAAGCTATGCTGTTCAAATTAATAGCTAGTTATCTTTTAGGGACTAAAGACTAACCTTCTGGATCAGGAAACTCTTCAATCATCCAATGCCCCAACATATTTTAAATAGTGGTAATAAAACTGCCACAACTTTAGCCTTACTTTTGTTTTAAAATGTCTAGCAGGCTTATCTCTTGAATAACTTTAGACAAAACTATTGTCTATTCGCAGTATCAAACCATCGACATGACAGAGGTTTTCACTCTGCATTTTGAAGAAAAATGATCCTAATCTTATAAATGGCAAGCATTCTTTCACATTCTGCCATTATCATAACCCAAGAATTTGTGTATCAGTCACAATGCAACATATTCCCACACTAGATTGCTGAAGAATTGCCTTTAATCCCATATTCCAAGACAATTTTCACAGCAAGATAGCGAAGTGTCAAGAACTTATTTCCAATATTGCTCTTGACTGTCAGCAAAGGGATTAATAGTCATGAATGCAATACCTATACTTTTCTGGAACAAAATGCGAATTAGAATGCTCGCATCAAGCTACAGCATTAAGTAAAGTTAGCTCTAGATAGCCATTTTAGACTACATCAATTTTTTCAACCTGGACATCTTCCAAATATATGAGCTTCGCCTCACAGAATTCTCTAACAAGAATGGCATAATTAAAAATTATAGTAGCATATTTGGGATATATGATGAAAACAAATACATCTTAATTAAACAGGTAGCTCCTAACTTTATTTAATCCAAGATGCATTATCAATACTTGGAAACCAAGGCTACAGAAAAACAATGGCACATCTATAAAGATCTAGAATTTCTTACTAAGGAAAAATTCAGAAACAGCATTTGAAATTATCCCATGAAGTACCATTGTACCTACAGGAACAAGTGTTTTAATAACAGTATTTTTGCATCTGGTACTGCCTATACACTGTCAGGTTTGAACATTTTTAAATGTGATAAGGTCATATTAAAAGCCAAGCATCTTAATTTTAAATGGAGAGGATGGTTCTTTTACGCTGTTATAATCATCTAACCAATTTTGATATGTTACCAAAACTATACACTTTATTTTTTTTAGAAACCATTGTTTTTTTTTAAAAAAAAAATCTAGAAATTTGTTACACAATTGTATAAAATCCCATGGACATAACTACATCATAAGCAAAGGAACAAAACAGAACAAAAGGAACTAGAACTTCAGGTATTCTGAAATACACCCACGGCACTGATTGTGTTCACACAAAAGAGTGAGCTATGAATCTAAAAAAAAAATCTAGTTTATCATTCAGAAGCAGCACATTGCACTGCAACTCAACCTTGGTACCACATCCACCAGTCAGAACCACAGTAACCTGTGTTTACCTAAATGGAGAAACCTAGGATTCACAACTGTTGTACATCTAATGAGCCAGAATTCAAAGTACACATCCAAGTCAGCTCATTTGGGAGCCAAAAGCCAGGTCTAAATTTGAATCTTAATTTGGCATTAAGCCTTTTCTTCTTGCTGATTTCTTATTATAGTCAGTGTTAGTGATGGACCAGAACTAAGGACTGGTAAGGGCAAAGTAAAAATGCTTGTGAATGATAAATCTTCTTTTTTTTTGTAATTCTAATTTACTACTGTATGCAAATGTAGCCAGAGAACAGTAATATTTTAATATTACAAAAAAACTAAGTAAGTGGAATAGTTTCTGGTGTAATATGCAGTCTTGGTTGCCTGATATCAGGACTACTTTTTTAAAAAAAAATTATACATCTTCCAGTTCACAATTTAAATTCAAACTGTGCTTTACATTTTTAAGTTCTGACATATTAAAGCCCAAAAGCACGGATGGCTTGAGGTTTTTTATTGCCTTTAGGCAGAAGTATCTCTTTCTCCCAAAAAATGATGCAACATCCACTTTCCATGCACGTAGCATGGACGACAGCAATTGTAGTTCTTTTTTACTGGGATATGGCTTCTTGTGAAAATAATCTGCAAGAAACCTTTTTTGGACTTCATTTGAGCTTTGTTGGAATGGCTTCGGATTCAACACCAACAGATGAAGATCTTCAGCCGAAGTCTCTCCCTTGGTTTCAGTTTTATGATCAGACTTTTGTCGTTTTGAAGGCACACAATTCACCTCCTTTGCTGGAACTTGGGCTGTACCATTATTTATAATGAAGAATGGCGGATCCTCATCGCTTTGGTCTTCTGAAACAGAAGCAGCATAAAGATGATCAGACTGTTTCCTCTTGGCTGAAAGGGGATCATCCTCGTGGTTCTCCCCATTCATAAGTGGTAGATCCTGCTTCACATCAAGGTCAACCTGCATCTTCATATCTGGCGAGGTCTCTTTAGGAGCACTGCGGCATCGAAGCAAATGCACAGCTATAGCTGTTAGAGTCATGTTGCCAGTGTATACTCCGCAGCAGTGGATACATTTAAAAGCAGGAGTCTTCAAAATGGTGTGCACAGTTGGCATGATGTGGTGCCGCTCTTTCAAGTGCATTTCATAAGCATCTCTGCTAGTGAAAATACCATAACAAAAAGGGCAAGTAGAAACGTTCTTGTTCTCTCTGCTTGTTTCGGCATCCTCTTGATGTAGTTTGATATACAAAGGAATAAGTGTCCTTGAATTTACACCAGCAAGTACAACAAGATGCACTTCTCTTTCACCAAGTTCTTTTGAAGTTATACTGAAGTCAAAATGAGGGAATACTAACTGACCTTCAGAATCACTCGCAAGCTGAAACCCTTTATCATCGTAATTTGAGTGCAATTCCTTCTTTCCATTATGTGCAGTTTGTGTGTGAGTCACAAGGCCTTTTAAATCATAGAAAATATTGGTGCAGAAGAGGCAAGTTAACCCATGGACAAAAATATGTTTTAAAAGCTCTGACTGAGTTAGAAAGCATTTACAAGAAAAACATCTCACCGTCTTATCTTTTAGCCACCTCAGAAAAGGTGCACAGACTGCAACTTTGTCTATTTCACGAGTCGTCTCCCTCTTAGATGTGCTACATTTGTGGGCCACCTGCATGTGCACTTGATAGACATTTGATGGGAAAAGCTCGCTACAAACGGGGCACGTCTTCCATTGCTTAGCCTGCTTAAGAACTAGATTCATTGCAGTACTGGTTGGAGAAGTCTTGGTAGGAGTATTTGTAGAAGAACTTACTGCAACAGGAGATGGCACAGTAGCAGGTCCCTGAGACAGCTGGGCAACTGGGCCAGATGGCATCAACTGAACAGGCACCTGAGGCGGTGGAACAGTTGCCATGCCACCACCTGGTGGCCCAGGCAAAGTCATTGAAACTGGTGCAAGGGTGTATGTAGGTATTCCATTAACTTGTTTGCCAGTTGGAATTAACTGTCTGAGCATAGGTCCAGTGGTAAGTAAAGTAGCATTCTGAGACACTCCAGGTCCAACAGACTGATTTACTGGAAGAACTTCTGGCTGATTAAACTGTACAATCCCAGGTCCGGCCGATGGGTTTACAGGAAGAACCCCTGGTGTGACTGGATGGTTAAACTGAAGAACTCCCGATGTAATTGTTTGGGGAACTGGAAGAACACCAGGCCCACTGCCAATAGGCCGATTTACAGCAAGGATCCCAGGTGATGAAGGTCTGTTAACTGGAATAGCACCAGGCCCTGGCATAATTGGATTGCTGATAGTTCTGACTGATTGATTACCTACAGGAAGCAGAGTAGGCCTGATAGGTCGAGTGAAAGAAATTACTCCTGGAGGAACAGCTCTGCTTATGTTTCCTGTGGGTTGATTTAGGCAAAAAACTCTGGGTCTTACTGGCTGTTTTAAGGGGAAACGATGAGAAACAAAGACTGGCTGAGAAACTGCAGGCTGAAGACCAACAGTATTCTGATTTGCTGGGCGAGAACCCGAAAGAAGGGCAATATGTAACCGGTCAACAGAAGTTGAAGCTGTCATACTATTGGCGCTACTTGAAACAGTCAAAGGTGCAACCACGTTATGAACTGGTTTTGTCGATACCGTATTTTGATTCTGATTAACTGATGGAAGTGGAAGCTGAAAACATGATGTAGAATTTGATCCTACAGAGGTAGGATTCAGTTGTGAAACAGTATTGATTGTAGATGGCTTTGGAGCAATATTGATAATCTGCAGTGACTTCATTTGTCCTGTTTTTTTAGGCTGAACTGAAATTACACGTCCCAATATGTTCTCCAGATCTTTATGTACTTCAGATGTTAAGACATGATATATTAAAGAATCCCGGCTATTTGCAAAAGCATTACACTTTTTACAGTAGTGGTCAGTAAAATTCTCTTCGCTCTCATCAGGCCTCTCCTCAAAATATGTACTTATTAGATTTTGAAAATGGCTTACCAACACATGTTTCTTTGTATTGTAGTACAGCATGTCAGAAAATTGACATTTCTGGCATACAAAGTTTACTGCATCGTTCCGGAATTGTCTCATACCACCACTCACATTATAGTTTTGTATTTTCTTCTTGGAGTGAAACATTCGGAGGTGTTTTCCTACTGTCTTAGAATGAGAAGCAAATGAACATTCTGGACAAGGAATAACTAACTCTTGATCCATTTCATCTTCATGGTAGCGAGTCAGGTGATTTTTGAAAGAATTAAGAAATTTTGATGAAAATTTGCACAAGCTGCAGCAATATGGATTTGTTCTGTATCTCTGAAAAATAAGAAAAAGGGGCATCTTTTGTAGAACTCACAAATAATATGTGTATCAACTGGTCAATGCACAGTACCAAAAAAGCATCACAGTCTTGTTAACTGGGTATGAACTCTTCTTCAGGAGATTATAATGATCTAGCTTTCTTCTCTGTTTTAAATAATATTAATATAATAATACAAATAGTATTAGGACCAAGCTAAGTGAAATCTAAACTTTTTGCTGCTGTTCGCTAAGAATAAGTCAAATTACTACAATACCAGCAGTGTGGACTCCAGCTTAGTCTAAGACCAGAAATAAATGAGGAAAGAAAGGGAAGAAGCAATATCCTTCTATGTTATAAGTTTACACAAGAATTACCAAAATAAATATCAAATATCTATTACCATCTATGGTTAAAAGAAAATTAAAGGAATATATCAATGGAAATCTTTAGTCCATCAAATTAAGATAAAAATTTTAAAGCAGAATATCGAAAAGTTGTTACTGGAACTGTAGAGGAATAAATATGCCAATTAGATGTTCAATATAGTTAATGACTGAGTTATCAAAAAACTAACAGCTGTAGCAACTTGTTTTCAAAATGCAGAAAAAGCAACTACTTATTCTTATGCAATTCTGACAGTTTAGTGAAGAAAACTATCATAAAATAATAAGGTGACTGACAAAATATAGAATAATCAATTTTCTTATTCTATTTTCGGAATATTTCCCCCTGTTATAGAACATTAGCTTTTGAAATTAAAGGAAGTCTTATAATACAACATAGTACCAACTTTTCAAATCAAAATTATTTTTTTTAATCCAACAAGGCATACTCAAACAATTGAATCCATTTAAATCTTCAAACGGTGATAACTATATTACATACCTTTCTTTTAGTAACATTGTCCCAATGAGATACATCATTCCATGAAGTACTAGAGAAATATTTTTCCCCTGGATCAAAACTTTTCAGAGTCTAAGAAAAAGCAAGGTGGGTTAAGAAAATAGCCCATAACTAAAATAAAATGTTGCTTAATGCAGTTACTTTAACATTAAACTGAGATTCCAAAGCCTGGTGTAATACCCCAACTTTTTTTTCAAATCGTATAGCCCAAGCAAACTACAAATACCAAAAAGCATAATGTATAACCTTTATTATTTTAATTTTTAAAAATAATCCACTCCAAACAAAAGGTGAATTATGGCCTCACAGACTTGGCATTACTATCCTGACCGTAACTGCTTTCACATTCCTAAATGATTTTCAAGAATGGCTTTTAGCCAGCTAAAGTAGGCCCACTCATTTGAAATCAGTAATTTTATCTGGTTTGTGTCAATCTGAGCTCAGCACTTCACATTCTCACAATGCTGGAGGTCTTCAGTAGCGAAATTTCTGGCTCAGTTATGGAGCAGGAAAAAAGTTTGGAAGTCACTGGGTGAGCAAGTCCCTATTGAGGAAAATTCTCACCTTGCCCTGTTTTCTCTCTCCTTTTGAAATGAAGATGGCAGGGCACTCTATCGTGGTTTTTAAATTAAGCAAAGAAATGGTGTTGCATCTTTTCTTAGTGCTTTTGTCCTCTCTCAGAAATTAATAAAGAACAAGAAAGGAAGGGGATGGATTAAGTGAGATGGTTGGATGCTGGGGGTTTTTTTGCACTTCCCAATTGGATGGCAAGCTAGCCTGGTTCATTAATAGCCCCAAATGTTTGTGAAAATGCTATTCTGGTCTCTCACCGTAATATTGAAATCTTCTGAAGATGGCAAGAGTGAAAATTGTGCTGATGCAGAATTCCCTCTGATGGTTTGGGGAATGAAGTAGGGAGCACAGTGAAAGTACAAGTAAATCTTACAGCCATGTTTTCAAATGTTTAGCAGTGATAATCAATCCAACAATAGTAAAAATTTTCTCCCACCTACTTCTTAATTCAATCAAATTAATTGAGTTTTGAGGCCACCTAACTTCAAAAGGACTCAGAGCAGTTTACAATATTCAAAATTTGAGGAAGATGGGCAGTCTAGAAACACAAAATATAAATAAATATAAATAAAAAGTGAATGTTCAGACACATCAACAACATTCACAAGAGATTTGACAGGGGCTCCAAAATACCCTAGCCCCAATCCTGGGAGCAAAACTAGTCTTTTATGGAATTCAAAATTACTTGAAGAGTGGGAAGCATACATATCTCTGGGGGAATGCTGCTCCTGGAGGCACATGCTTCTATGTATTCAGTATGTTTTTCCCTGTCATCAATTTAAATGTTCAGTACAACTAAACTTGATGAAGTATTAATTCAACCATGGATTCAATTTTTAAGATTTCTCATCAACATTAGAAATCTATGATAAGTGATATTAAACACAGAATATATTTTCTTCAGTTAAAATGCATGACATTTAGTTATGTCAAATGCTATCTTACAGGGTTGTAAATATAAACTACTATATTTTAAGACAATTTTTATATAGGTATATTTGACTAATCTGTATTCAGGCACACATTATAACTGCAATATTAAAATATCTTTAAGCCACGGAAAACTATGAAGTCTAAAATAATATTTATTCAGTTGTTTAATTTAGACTTCTACCTAGATGTGTACTGTAGTCAAGGAGATTAGGCAAAATAGATAAATTTAGGCTTAAAAGTAGCTTTTTTTAAAAGTATGTATTTTTTTTCCTTTAAAGACGCATACATGTAGTCCTCATTTAACAGCCACTCGCTCAGTGACTGTTCAAACTTGCAGGAAAACTGAATGAATAGTATTTATGATCTATTCCTCAGAATTCTAGCCATTAGTATTTCCATGATTGTAATTTCCAAAGTTCTCTACTGGCTTCCCATGAACAAAGTCAATGGAGAAATCAACAGGAAGTCAAAAGTCATGGTCAAGCAAGATCCTCGCTTATTGATGGCAACAGCACTGCCTTTGCTAAGAAATGTGGTCACGTAACATCATGCTTTACAACTGTATTGCAATCACCATTATTAACTGAGGACTACTTGTATTAAGTCCAAGAAAAGGATGTTTTATTCAACTTTTTGAAAAAGTATTGTCCCATGTGAAAAATAAATAAATTAGGGATATAAAAAATGAGGGAATATTTTTACATTAGAAATAGTCAGCAATAAATGCAGAACAATAGTAACAGGTTTCCCTATTTGTAAATTTGATTTTTTGAATTGTCATGTATACATTCAAGTCAGGGGTGGGTTTCTCGCCCCGTTCCAACCGGATCGGTTGGAACGAGGCCGGCGGCGTCCTCACGCACGCACGCGGCACGCACGCACACAGCGCGCGCATGCGTACTAGCGTCTGCGCGATGCTCCAGCTGCTCCTGGAGGATCGCGCAGGCGTTCTGCGCATGCGTGGAAAGCGCGAAATTCGAAAAAACTGGGTAAGGAGCGGGTGCGGGTGTGCAGGCGCGCGCGGGCGCGGGGGGGGGGCTTCGCCGTTCCCGGAAGTTACTTACTTCCGGGTTCGGCGACCAACCGGATCGCAGGGACCGGTGCGAACCGGTCGAAACCCAGCCCTGATTCAAGTAAGCAAAGAACATTGCAGGAATCATTCTAGATTTGAATGATCTGGCTATAGACAGCCTGCTTGTTCCTTTCCCTTGCCCTTTCTGATCCTCAGTGTGCACTACCCAAGTGCACTGCTACCAATGTGGTAAATACAGGCAACAAGAATCATAGAATATAGGCCGAAGGAGAAAAATGGGATATGCCTATGATATTAAAGGGAAACAGCCACTCAAAAATAGCATTTGCTCAAGCCCAAATATCCAGTGTACAAAAAGAAAAGGATTACCGGTAATTAAATATTTGGATGCAGAGTCTGTTGAGAAAAACAGAGACAGCAGAAATTATAGTAGAGGTGGGCAATTAATTTTCCCATGGGGTCATGTGACAAATTGGGACTATTGTGGAGGGCTGCTGCCGCCCCCACTGCTATCCCCCCTCCCCCACTGTGGGCTAGGAGGCACAATCGAAAACTTGGATGTGGCCTATAAAATGCCCAGGTCTGACCTAGCGCCTAACCAAAAAAGGCCCCATGTAATAATATAGCAATTGACAACTTTCTAGCCTAAGCAAATAAGGGAAGATAAAGTATTTCAAAAGCTGAGACAAAGCTGGTTGAACTATTCTTCTATCTTTGTTAGGAAATGGATCTAAACAGCATAAATAGAAGAAAACTGCTTTATAAACACGAAGAAAGTGAAATAAGCTTTATTGGTCCTGATGAATTGAAAAATAAAATAAAGTTGATACTCTGGTTTAAGTTAACTGTAAAAGCCCTCTTCATTAAGATGACTGATTGAAGAATGACTTGTCAGATAAAATGGTAAGTCTGAGATCACTTCATGAATGAAAAACACTAAAGACGGAAGAAATCCACCAACTTCTCTAAGTTAAGAAACAAAACAATAAGAACAAACCATACATACCCAAGAACAAGACTACAGTAAAGAACTGTACTCTTGATTTATTCTATTAAATGATCATGTTCATCAAAGTCCCAAGTCTACAGTACCTGGACAGTCCCAGCAAGTTGTTTTCAAAATTAACATGCTTCCTACCCACGTTCAGCTATGTCCCCAATTACCTCATTCTCCCCCCCACCCCCAGTGCTAAACTAGATGCTATGTGGGAGACAGACTTACTTTGTCATCCAATCCTCTGAAAGAAGATCCTTATGCTTTGAACCCTTGGCCTCCCCATTCCTATCTTCCTTTTCACCATCCCTGTTCTGCCTCAGTTAGGGACTGGCAGATCCCCTCCCCATTTCCATCTTGGAAAGTGAGAAAGATGTTCTCCTGCATCTCCAAAGAGAAAACACCTAAGAAAGAAAAGTTTGTGCAGTTTAAATCCTCACCTCTTCACAGAATGAGAAGAGTGTGAAAAAAAAGATGTTTAAAAGAGAGAGTTACCCATTTTAAAAATAAGCTTCCAGGAACAGTAACAAAGCAGATAAAAAGTTTCCTTAGCACGAGAGAGACTTCAGTGCAGTCTAGGGCAAGCTATCCTGGAGCCAATATGGAGAAGAACCTCAGTCTTCCCAAGTGTTGCCTGATATGTTATCATCTGTGGGAGTTGGGATTGGGGCTTTCCCCTTCTTGTCCAACCTTCAGCAAAAAGATCTTCTGATTTGAAAACACACCATGATTTCAAGTCCTGCCATGCAAATCGAGGATGATAACCACAGATCATTTAAAAGAAAATTCTGCCCAAGAACACAACTTTTTAAAAGAATACTATGAGAAGACAAAGTGAGGATCCAGAACTTCTCCAAGAACAGCAGTCTTTGAAAAATGAATTCTCCACTACACAGGGCACAGAAGCACATGTTAAGATAGGGATGGGATGATCAATTTCAAGGCTTTGTAAAGAGTTACATGGGTCTTGTCAGAAGGAACTATTTCCCTTTAGGTTCGCCAAGCTCCCTTAAAAAAAAAAACATGGCTGCAGAAATCAGGGTTCCCTTGCAGCCTGAATAGCACAGAAGTACAGTCACTGAGCCTGAGGAGAGAAGCCGGAAGCATCGCAGTGAGACCGGCTGGAAAAAAACAGGCTCTATTGTGCCTCGTGGAAATTCAGCCAGACAAACCACTGTCGGAAGGTCTTCAGATTGAAACCTGTCCTGGAGGGGAGGCGGGAGAAGAAGTGACGGCTCTGATGATGTAAGGAACCAGCAGTTTCTTGGAAGGTCAGAGAAAAACCCTTCAAACTGGCAGTGGGGCAGCGGCCATAACTGAATGACTGCTACAAAGCTGGGGCATGTGGACTAACTTATTGTGCTGGAGCGGTGTTGGAAATGGAGTGTTGGAGGTAGGGGACGTTAATTACCAATCCCTCAGAGAATTTTGTCTTCTGCAATTTGGAAGTGAAGAAAAATTAACAACTAAAAGAAAGAGTCCAGGAGGAAGTCTCTTTTCTCCTTATCTTAGTCTATTTTTTGTGGATTAAAGTGCCTTTGACGGCTATTGACAGCTAGCTGTGGGATCGTATTGTGGTTTGGAGAGAGCCATTTACTGACAAGCAGAAAATACTACACCGGCTAGTTAACAACAACAACAACAACA